GCTTTTGTGGCTGTTCTGATCCTTCCCCCACTGGGTCTCTCCCAAGATGGCAGCTCTAGGTGCAGCTGAGTGTCTTGAATTAGAAAGCACTGTCTTTCTTGATTCTGCTACAAATTCCCCTAGCTGTAAGCCTTCCAAGCTTCTAAATATTCCTTTATATGTGGTTCAGAGTTCTAGCACCATCCCCTGAGACTGCTTGGTCCGGTGTTCTGTGTTGTTGCTGATGGAGCTCCTTACTGCACTTCCATCCGATCCACCATCTTGCTCTTTCTAATAAGTAAAGGTAGCCTATTGCTATCATATAGTCTCTGGTAATTGCAAATGGTTAGTGTTTTACACTGCTAACCTAAAGTTTGGAGGTTCAAATCTAAACCCAAAGGTACCTTGGAAGAAAGACCTAATGATCTACTTCTGAAAAATCAGCCATTGAAAATTCCCTGGAGAAGGGTTTACCTTTACTCTGACACACCTGGGGTTACCTTTATTCGGAATCAATTCAACAGCAACTGGTTTGTTCCTATTGTATCAGTAGCAAAGCTGGTCTGGGAGCTTCTGTGCAGATGATTCCTCTGAGGTTCTACCTGTCCAATTTCCGAGAGGTCTTCTGCCATAGACCATGACCCAAAGTATTATTACTAAACAATATCTCCACCTCTATGATGCCCTTTCAGAAACCCAGCCTAGTGCTTACTTTGCACGTAGTCCTGGGGGAGGGAACATAGGGTGCAGGATAGGGACTGAGTTTATGCGCTTATGCAGTTCTGACCCTGGCAGAGGCCTGGGTCTGGCTTCTCTTACTTTTCTCAATCTTTCTCCCCATCAGTCCTGGATGCCTGTGAGCTGGTTCCAGTCAGAGCTGTCAAGGAGGGGATGCTGGAGCTGACCCCTGCAGTGGCAGACCTTTTTGCCTCAGTAAATGCCAAGTGTGTGGTATGGAAGTGCTGTGAGGATGGGACACTGGAGCTGACCGACTCCAACACCAAGTATGTAGGCAACAATATCAGCACCAAGGGTGTGGGCAATGACCGCTGTGAGGACATCACTCAGAACTACAAGTATCCTGAAGGTACTGAGCAAGGAAGGGTGTCAGGCTACCCTGTGGCCTGAAACAGCAAAAGAGGGAAGGGGTCGGCCAGAGAGCTGCAAGCCAAGGAATCTCAACCTTTTCCCCATCATATATAGCAGAACTTCTCAACCTTAATACTATTGACATTTGGGGCCAGATAAGTTTTTGTTATAAGGGCTGACCTGTGCATTGCAGAATGTTTAGTGACATCCTTCACCTCTGTTCACTAGATATCAGCATACTTCCCCCAAGTTGTGACAATTGCTCCCAGTTGAGAACTACTGATAATACACTTAATACCAAGCCCACATGTGGTAGGATGGTTCATTAGTAGAATTCTTGCCAATATGCAAGACCAAGTTCAATTGATTTCTGGCCACTGCACCTTCTGGGCAACCACCACCTGTTTATCATTGGAGGCTTGCATATTGGTATGACATTGACCAATGAAAACCCTATTGATTGCAACGGCCCAATCCGCAACTGATCATGGAATGGAACAGGACTCAGTAGTATTTTGTTCCATTGTGACTGGGGAACCATGATTGCCATAATAACAATAGCAAGACCAACTGCCAAAAAGCTTATGATGCCTTCCCTTTCCTCCTTTTCTCTAATGGCCCCCTACCTGTTTCCCTAAATCAGTTCCTGGGTACCATTTATCCAAACAAGAAGACTTGGAGGCTTTCTTTTTCATTGCCACACATTACTCTCATGTATATCTACTCATCTCTTTCCCCATTGCCTAGAGTTAATCCAACAACATCATCTCTAGTCTTCATACTGCAATAACCTACTAGCCAGACCTCATTCCTGCAGTCTCTCCATCATTGTTTTCTTTTCAACTTCCCAGAATTCCAGAAGGAACTTTCTAAGACACAAATGTGACTATGTTACTCTCTGCTTCAAAATGCTCCCTGCCTCTAGTCTCATGACCCACATTTGCCCATTGAACTAAGTCCAAATTCCTCCACTTAGGAAGATTAAATTCCCTGCAAAATCAACCTCAGAGACTTGTCCAAAAGCTTGCTCACTCTTGCTCAAAGGGCAAATTCATTTGCACTTTAAGAACTTTGCCCTTGAATGGCCTGGAAGAAGCACACTATATCTGTGGTAGAGATGACAACACAGATGTTTTTGACTATAAAATGTCAATAACCTTATTGTTGTTGTCAAGTCCTGTCGGGTCAATTCCAACCCACAGTGACCCTATATAGGGTTTCTAAGGAGCAGCTGGTGATCTTGAACCACTGACCTTGTAATTCAAATGACTTTGCAGTCTGACATATTAGCCCACAGCACCACACCAATATAACCTTAGAGGTTTACAAAGCCTTGGGACTTTGGCATTCAGAAGTGGGAAAATTAAATGTAACATCAGAACCAACTCAATAGCACTTAACAACAACAACAACAACATACCTGCTAGAGGAGGAGCCCTGGTGGCACCATAGTTAAGTGTTCGGCTGCTAACAAAAAGGCTGGCAGTTCAAATCCACCTGGCAGCTCTGTAGGAGAAAGATTTGGCAATCTGTTGCCATTAAGATTACAGTAAAAAATAAACAAAAAACCTAGAGGGCAGTTCTATTCTGTCACAAGGGGTTGATAAGAGTTGGAATTAACCCAGCATCATAAAAGGTAAGAGACTTGTTTTGTTTCTTCCACTTTTCAGGATCTCTTCAAGAAAACGAGGTGCTGGAGAGAGTCCAAAAAGACACTGATTCTCTCAGTCTTAACACTGTGGACCCTTTGTACCTGTTTTTGGAAGCACCTAGCTACCTGCCCCTGAGAGGAGATGCCAAACTCTCTGTGACCCTGGTTAACCCCAGCAGCAAGGAGAAGGCAGTGCAGCTGACAGTTGGAGTCCAGGCAGTATACTACAATGGCGTCCTTGCGGCCGAGCTCTGGAGAAAAAAGCTGCCTCTCACTGTCAATGTGAATCTGGGTAAAGCTCTCTTGCCCACCAGACACCTCACACACGCTGGACACCTCTGTCGTCCTCTCAAGATGGTTCTAATCGTAACGGGTGTTTGTCTTTCTCTTTCTCGCTGTCTCTGTCACTCTCTGTGTCTAATTCTGTCATTTAACACATACTTATAGGACCTGACACAGAAAGAGAAAACACAGTTCAGATGGGAGTCAGATAAGTAAACAGGCCATGATAAACCCTGTAAGAGGTGTTGGGGAAGTAAACAGAGAGTGCACTGGCAGAGGAACATTTGACTCAGACTGGAGCAGGCCGGCCCCAAATAAACCAGACTTGAATTGGATCCTAAAGTTTGAGTAGGTGAGTGACAGAGAGAAATGTGAGATATAGGCATTCCAGGTAGAAGGAACAATAAAGGGACCCCCTACTGCCTGGGTTTCTTATTTAGTTGGTTTGGGATGAAGTTCAGGTTTGTTTGTTTTAAACTCTCTAGGTTATGCTAGAGATCCCGGTGTAGTGCTTTAAGATAAACACTGGACCTCTAACTACAAGGTCAGTGGTTCAAACCCATCAGTCACTCCTTAGAAACCCTATACAGAGTCTCTATCCCACAGAATTGACTCGATGGCATTTAACAGGTTATGCTAGACGTGAGATTTCCTGAACAAGAGCAGTTGTTCCAACTTTACTGCACATTAGAATCACCTGGGGATGTTTCATGCCCAGGCTGCTCCTAGATCATTTAACTCAGAACCAAGCATCAGATACGTTCAAACTCCTCAGATGATTCCAAATTGGGTAATCAATGGACTAAAGGTTTTCTGCAGTGTTGGAACAACCTACCCAGTCCTCTCTTGTCTCTAGTCTCTGGGTCATTGATCCCTTGCCAATCATGGTAGACCTGGGTGAGGGTAGTGGTGTGAAAGCTAGACGTGGGTCAGTGTATGTGACTTACCTAGTGCTGCTGTAAACAGACATACCACAAGTAGTGCCTTTAACAACAAAAATTTATTTTCTTAACAATTTAGGAAGTTAGAAGTCTGAATCTTGGGCACTGGGTCTAGGGCAAGGTTCTGTCTCTGTCTGCTCAGTGGGAAGGTCCTAATCTCTTCCATTTCTGTGCCTCAGTTCCTTGGTGACTGTGTAATCTGTGTCTGCACCTAGGTGTGCTTCTTTGCTAAATCTCTTTTATTTGCATTTTCTGCCTCCAGGCTCTACTTTGATTGCTTGTAATTACTTTCAGCTCCCTTGAAACAAAACAAGTCAGATAACTGGGCAATGGTGAATTTTACCAGAGAAGGTTAATGGCATCTTAACTTGATAACCTTTCCACAACTCCAATGAAGTGGTCTACCAAGAATGCTGGAGTAGATGGAGGTGGTGGAGGGCAGGATCTTGCATGTGTTCCAAGTTTGAAATAGATACAGTGAACAAGGCATTGTTTTGACTTCAATGAAACTCTAACTCCTTGTGTTATGTGTTTAACTATTGCTTGTGTCAGGGACACATGATCATCCCTTTACACTGGTCCACTTGTCATGTGTTTCAGTTACGGCAACCATCTTGCTATCCTTCTCCAACTTTGAACGAAACCCACCTAAGGACACCTACCTCAGACTGACTGCCATAGCAACGCATTCCGAGTCCAGCCTCAGCTGCTTTGCTCAGCAAGACATCGCCATTTGCGGTCTATACCTCACCATTGAGGTGGGCATGGTCCTTCCTGAATTGCTCTCATTTACTTCTACTCAGGTTCCGATTTCAGAAGGATTCTGGGCCCCTTGGGGAACAAGCTTCAGAACAGATGACTGTGGTGCAGAATCTAAGTGGGAGAGTTTATTACCTATGTTATTAAGATCTCAAATTTCCAACCTATTTAACTGGTTAAGTGAATCTTTCTAAAATTAGGGCCTTCCCAGTTGCTGTGTCTGTACTCATCGGGATAATAATAGTGGGATTATACATTGGACCGCAAGGTCAGTGGTTCAAATTCACCAGCCACTCCTTGGAAAACCTATATAGGGTCACTGTTGAGTTGGAGCTGATTCGAAGGCACTAACAACAACAATGCTTATTTAGTACTTTATACATTTCAAAGTATTTTCACCTTGTTTTAATTTAAAAAAAGTGAAATGATTCCCATTATTCAGAGTTCTGCTGTGGTGCTGTAGGATCAGTACTGAACTATGAACCACAAAGTCAGCAGTTCAAACCAACCAACTGCTCCACAAAAACCTTGTGTAGGGTCACTATGAGTCCCAACTAACTCAATGGCACTTAACAACTCTGGCCAAAATGAAGAAGGGATGGCCTCTGCTTTCAGAAAAGTTGGGTGAGGGAGACATATTTGATCTTCTACTGTTGTTGTTGTTAAATGCCATCCATAGCTACCCTGCATAGAGTTTCCAAGGAGTGACTGGTGTAGTTAGCAGTCTAGTGCTTATCCTATATCCCCATATCAGAATTCCTTGGTGCTCTATGTAAGTGCTTCAATAAAGGTAAAAGTCACCGTGGGATCACTGAAATAAGTGGGATTAGAGACAACTACATAGAGGAGGTAACATTTATGTGGGCCTTGAGAGATGGGGAAAGATCACTGTAGGCAGAAGGCTAAGCAAAGAAGCCCAAAGAAAAGGAGCCTGGCGGTGTGCTGGGAATGGGAAAGTACCTGACATGGATGGGATGCTAGATCCAAAGAAGATCAGGTGAGGCCGGAAAGGTGGAGTGGGGATGAACTAGAAAGAATCCCAAGTGCTAACCTAGGGCGGTAGAAGACAGTGGCAAACATGCCAAGGTTTCTGAGCAGAGGAGAGGCACTATCAGAGCTGGTCAGTGAGGGTGCAGGTGAGAGTAAATGAAAGAAGAGATAGAGGGGTAAAAATGTCTGCTATGGAGTTCTAAGTCACAGTGACAGTGATGAGGGAGGAGAGCTCTGAGTTCCCAGCACCTGATTCAGATTTTGCCTTTTCTCACAGATGCCAGAGACAGCAGAGCAATACAAACCTCTTAAGGCCTTAGTCAGCATCCATAACACCCTAGATGCTCCCTTGAAGGAATGTTTGATCACCATCTTTGGAAAGGGGCTCATTCACAGAGAGAGGACCTATAGGTAAGAGACTGCAAACTGCTCATCTGACGTTTACATCTCAACTCCTCAGAACGGCAGGGACTCACAATGAATGACACTCTTTTTATGTGTCCATGGAGACAAATATCCCCAGAAGTTAAAATAGAGGATTGTTGTTGTCAAGTCAGTTCTGACTCATAGTCACCTTGTATAGGGTTTCCAAGGAGCAGCTGGTGAGCTTGAACCACTGACTTTGTGGTTCAAATGACTTTGCAGTCCAGCCTATTAGCCCACAGCACCACATGGCGGTCCCAGATGAGACCTCTCATCTGGGACCGCCATGTGTATGGGGGAGTGGGGTTGAGGGAGGCTGTGTGGGGCTCTGAGTCACTTACTTGACTCTGCTCCCCTGATGTGGGAGACACTGGGTACTAGAGACAATCACAAGAAGACTGGCTGCTTCTTGAGTGACTGGAGAGCTGCATTCTACTAGTGACAATATAGAATTTTTTTTAATTACCTTTTATTCCCATTCCCAGCACCATCCTCCATATTGTTCTATTGGTATGTATATCCTATTGTTAGTTTTGAGCTCTTATGTGTGCCATTACTTCATGAGCCTGTATTAACTTTATTATATCCAGTTCTTCTGATTTCTTATTTTCACTCAGAACTATGTTTTTAAGATTCAACCATGTCTAATCCTTTGCTTCTACTACTACATAACGCTCCATCATGTACTTCTACTATTTACCACTCTGTTCCCATAGGGATAGCCACCTAGACTACCTCCAGCTCCCTGGCACAAATAATGTTGAAATGAATCTGCTCATACATGTCCCCTTAAATGCTTGTTTGCAAATTTGAAGGGTGTGTGTTGTTGCTGTTGTAAGTGACATCGAGTCGATTCCAACTCATAAAGGCCCTGGATAGTTTTGAAGGAGTGCATGGTGGGGTTGAACCATTGGCCTTGTGGTTAGCAGTCCAGTGCTAATCCTATAGCGCCACACTAATATCAGTGCCAACCCAAAAGAGGTCTGGGTGGCAAAAATGGTTTGCACTCAGCTACTAACCTAAAGGTTGGCAGTTTGAACCCACTCAGCAAACTCCACCGAAGAAAAGCCTAGCAAACTGCTTATGAAAAGATAAGAAAACTCGATACAGTTTTGAAGTCCTGGTATGGTGCTATACGATAAGCACTGGACTGCTAACTTCAAGGTCAACAGTCCAAACACACCAGCTGTATCTTGAAAACCCTATGTAGCATCAGTGTGAGTCAGAACCAACTCAACAGCACTAAGAATGTGCAGCAGTTCTACTCTGACACAACGTGGTTGTCATGAATTGAGCTGGCTCAGTTGTTGTTATGTGCCATGGAGGTTTCAACTCATAGCGCCCCTGTACAGGGTTTCCAAGGCTGTAAACCTTTACTGGAGAAGAAAACCGCATCTTTTTCCTGTGGAACAGCTGGTAGTTTCGAATTGCTGATCATGAGATTAGCAGCCCGATTCATAACCACTACGCTACCAGAGCTCCTCAGCAATGGGTTTATATGTACTCAGGAATAGAATTGCTGAGTTCTCACTATGACCATCAGATTTCTTTGCAGAATGGCTGTGTCTATACTCACTCCAGAAATACAAGAGTTTTTATATTCCTATTGCAAGATTGGTGGTTGAAGGCCACCTGTGGTTTGTGGAAAATTCCTTTATCATTTAATTCCATTTTTCCATGAACTCTTTGAAGCTCCGTCAAACACAGTAATAAGTTTGAAGCTCAAGATGCCTACATATTCTGTCCCTGAGGTCTCCAACAGGTTGTTGTATCATTAAGCCATTGCTTCAGCCTCATGAAACTCTTGCCAGTGGGAGGAAGGACTGACAGTATTCAACCAGAGTCTGCTGGTCTCCCAGATGAATTGTGGGGCTACGTTCCTCAGGGAACCTGTCCCATCCCCTTAGCCACCCAATGGTACAAAGGCAGACCAGGAGGTTTCTAACTGCCTGTTGACATACTGACGTCTTCTCAATATGCCCACTGCACCCATTACACTTAGCAGTGAGGATTCTAAAACTGTACCTTTTCCAAATGTACCCCAATACTACTACTAAGAATCAAACCAGAATGAAACTACAGGTAATAAAAGGAACAGATAAAGCCTGAAAGTTCTTAGAATAAGATGTTTTTCTTCTTAACCATGCAAATGTCCACCATAGGGGCTCTGGTCTTCTATCCTCTTATAACCATGTGTTTTAACAGCAAGGTACTCAGATGTTTATTTCTGTAGAATCCACCTCTGTGTCCATCAAGGAAGGATCAGTCACTGGGACCAGCAGAGCAATGAATCTGAGGCACACCTAGCCTAGCGCCTGTTTTTCCTTTATTTCAGATTAAGTTCAGTGCAGCCCGGAGACACCCTGTACACCCAGTTCCAGTTAACACCAACACAAGTGGGGCAACAGAGATTCACGGTGGAAATGGATTGTAACATGTTCCAGAACCTGACCAACTACAAAAATGTTACTGTTGTAGCTCCTGAACTTACAGCTTAAAAATCCAGACACCCCCTTGAAGTTACCATCTTGAAGCCAAGCACATGTTGGGAAAGAAAGCTTTGAGTTAAGTGAGTGACCAAACTAAATTCCCACTCACTTCTGTCACCTCAGCTTAAGGCAGGCATGAAGATGAGTTGTCTTAGAATACAAAGTACAGGGCTTGTGTGAGGAGAAGTCTTTGAAAAGGTACTCGGATAAGCCCATGAGATTCTTGGGTTCATGGCTTTTCAAAACCCATTTTACTGCTCATTCACAAACAATCATTAACTAATAAATAAGGGAAAGATCCTGACACTTAAATCACTGATTGTTTCTATTAGCCTTGAAAGATTCAAAGATGAACAAAGTTATTAAATAGACAACTACTAAACCTGAGAGCAGCTACAGATAATTTGAGTTCTGTGTTCATTAAGTATTCCATAATCAAAATCTGATGTACCTTGAATTTGGTCTGGTTAGACAAATATAAAAAGTATTCGGTATAGAGAAAATAGGCCCTATAAAGAAAAATAAAAGAACTGGGTTCCTTATGCAAAAAAATATGCTATTTTTATATATTTGCTTTAGCACTGTTAGTTTGATTTTAGGATAGTCCCTTCTCTTTACAATACTTGTTAAAAGCATTGAAAGGCAATTTAAAAAAAGTAAATTAAAACTCATTTGGCTTAAGGAATTTCAACCAACTTACACACTAACCATTCAAGAAGTAACTGCTGCATGCAAGGAGGTGATTGTAATCATTGCAATGAAACAATGAGTGTAAAATCAATGTTCTCCCATGTAAACTATCATTCAATTCACAATAAAAACTAAAAAAACAAACAAACTGCTGTTGCTGGTTATACCCACCGAGACCCTGGTGGGGGAGGGGGACATCAGAAAGGCAGCAGATGTGATATATTTCACCTATAGGAGGAAGAAGAATGGCACTGGAGGCTGCAGAGTCCTACAGTGTAACTCGAGTCATCAGAATATTCATTATAAGTTTATCCTGCTTTCCAGTATGAGATCTTCCACAATGGTGCAAAATATAATTAAATCTGTACCATCAAAATGACAAAGCAGGTCTAAAATAAACCATAGGTTAGTGGCTTGATATGCCTACAGCATCAATTGCAGTGTACAACAGGCTAGTTATTTGTGAAATGGGTATCCTGAAACTATATAGCTCTTATAATATCTCATTTCTATGCCCTTTCAAACAAAATAGATTGCCTTTATCCAGCTATTTAGAACACATGGTTGCTTATTATTTTTTAAAATATGATAATACCATTGTTATTGTTAGATACCATTGAGTCGGTACTGACTCATAGCAACCCAACACATGACAGAACAAAATACTATCTGGTCCTGGGCTAACCTCACAATTGTTGCCACGCTTGAGCCCACTGATGCTGCCACTTTGCCAATTCATCTCTCTGGAGGTCTTCCTCTTTTTCTCTGACCCTCCACCCTACCAAACATGATATCCTTCTCCAGTGACTGGTCCCTCCTGAAAATATGTCTGAAATATGCGAGATGAAGTTTGGCCATCTTGGCCTCCGAGGAGAACTCTGGCTGCACTTCTTCCAAAATGGATCTATTGGTTCTTTTGGCATCCCATGGCACTTTCAATATTCTCCTCCAACACCATAACTCAAAAGCATCAATTCTACTGTCTTCTTTATTCACTCTCCAGCTACTGCATGCATATGAGGTTACTAAAAATACCATGGCTTGGGTCAGGCGCACCTTAGTCCTCAAGCTGACATCTTTGTTCCTCAACACTTTAAAAAGATCTTGTGCAGCAGATTTACCTAATGCAATACGTCCTCCGATCTCTTGACTGCTGCTTCCCTGAGTGTTGATAGTTGATCCAAGAAGAATGAAGTCCTTCACAACTCCAATCTTTTCTCCATTGATAAGAATGTTACTGGTCCAGTGGTGAGGATTTTTGTTTTCTTGACATTTAGTTGTAATCCATTTCGAAGGCTGTGCTCTTTGATCTTCATCAGTAAATGTTTTAAGTCCTCTTCACTTTCAGCAAGCAAGGTTGTATCATCTGCCTATCACAGGTTGTTAATGAGTCTTCCTCCAATCCTGATGTCACGTTTTTCTTCATATAACCCAGATTCTCAGATTATTTGCTCAACATACAGGTTGAATAAGCATGGTGAAAGAACCTTGTTGCATACCTTTCTTAATTTTAAACCATTCAGTGTTCCCATGTTCTGTTCAAACAACTGCCTCTTGGTCCAGGTACAGATTCCTCATGAGCACAATTAAGTGTTCCGGAATACTCATACTTCGCAGTATTTTCCAGAACTTGTCATGATCCACACAATCGAAAGCCTTTGCGTAGTCAATAAAGCACAAGCAAACATCTTTCTGATATTCTCTACTTTCAGCCAAAATCTAAATAGTTGTCATTAAGTGCCCTAAAGTTGGTTCCAACTCACAGTGACCCTGTATAAGGTTTCCAAGTCTGTAAAATCTTTGCAGACCAGAAAGTTTCATATAAATATTATTATTCTGGTGAAGTTTCATATAAAGTATTATTCTGGTGAAGGGAAAGGCAATACACAATATGGGGTTTGTCAGTACAATGTGACCAAGGGAAAAGAAGACACCAAGAGTTACGCAAGCATAAATGACAATTATGGTAAATGCTGTAACATATACAATTCTGCACCAGCAGTAATAACAGTAATTGGTGAGCAGATACACAGGTAAAATAAGGAGTCTTGGTTGTGTAGTGGGTTGTGAGATGGGCTACAAACCACAAAATCAGCAGTTCCTGCCACTCCGCAGGAGAAAGATGAGGCTTTCTGCTCCCGTAAGGATTTACACCTCGGAGACAATACACAGGGTCACTATGAGTCAGAAGTGACTCCACAGCACACAGCCACCACCGCCACATAGGTAAATTTACATGCTTAATAGATGACGGAGGTCAGACAGGAGTACAATTACACATATAGGTATTGCACAAATCTGACACCAACAATTCCTCCCAAAGCCCTTTCTGCTCAGTTGGGTCCGACAATTCATTGGAATGGCCACAGAGAAGGCGCATACCATACTCACAGTTAAGGGTTTATTAGGGACGTTAACAGGATCAGAAAATGCTCAGGGCACAGTTTTCCAGTCAGGGCAGCCTCCCCTCTGGCATAGCCACAGGTAGGCCTCTCTCTGGTCCTCAATCCCTTTGCCTGGCTTCTGCCCTGCTCCAGCAATGCTATACAGCTCTTTTAGGGATGCTGATAAATGCCCATAGGACACACCACTGTTTCACGAGCCTTACTCTGAAGGCACTTGGCTCTAGTTCCATGGGTCAGCTCCCCCAGTTAAATGCCTAGATCCACCCGACTCTGCAATCAAGCCTCCTGCTGGGTGACTCAGCTCTATTTGTTCCATGGGGTGGGAAGACCACTGCTTTGTCTCATGGTCTGCTGCTATTCCTCTGCCACTCCTCCAGTGTCACAGCTTTCTGACTCTGGGATGAGGAGGTTCAATGCACAGATATCTTGGAATCCAAAGGATGCATTCCACTCTTGGCTCTTCTTTAATGGTAGTGAGAGCCCCTCTTTTGCTTCTTAACTTTTTTTCTTTTGCTCATTAACTTTTCACAATTAACCTTAACAATCATTCACAACTGAATCATATAATCTATCAGCATCTTTCCTACCTTCTCTTACCCAAATCGTTCGGGGAAAAATAGCTGTTTGGTGGGAGTTACAAAAACTGTAAGAGCCATATGAAGTAATTCACTGCAGTACAGGTACGATGGTGGATGCTTTTACACACATATTTGTAAATTCTTTATATAATTCATATACATACAACAAAGTACATAGGAGGCACAGGTATAGAAACCACTTAGGTATTAGGACAAAAGCACTGGCCTAGAAAGCCAGGGACAATAGTCTCAGGGGACATCTACATTAACATCTACAAAACACAGCTCATAAAGATAATGTTCTACATCCTAGTCTGATGAATAGTGCCTGGGATCTGAAAAGCTTTCAAAGCTTTCAAAAGAAGAAACTATTGGTTTCTTTCTGCCTGAAGCAAAGAAAAATGAAGACCTAAGGAAGCAATTATTCTGCAGGACAAATGGCCCACATGAACCACAGCTTCCTCTAACCTGAGATACAGAAGTAGAGGGTGCCCAGCTACCAATACTGACTTCTCTGACAAAGACTACAATAGATTATCCCAGTAAGAATGGGTAAAGTATGTAGAACAAAATTTAAATTCAAATTTAAAAAACAAAACAGAAATCTTACTGGTCTGAGAGAGAATAGATGAGCCCCTACCGACTTGCCCTGAAACAACCTTCTAACCTGAAAGTGAAGGCATTCCCAGAAGCCACCTTTCAGACAAACAATAGATGGGACTATACAACAAACAACACCAGTGAAGAATGTGCTCCTTAGAACATTCAATTATATGAGATAAAAAGGGCAACATTTGCTCAAAATCAAAGATGAGAAAACAGGGAGGGACAAGAACACTGAGCAACTGGAAATGGGGAGGAAATATGGAGAGAGCTGACACAATGTAGAGACTGCAACCAACCAAAGTATTCATAGCAAATTAATTCTCCAACCAGTAGTCATACTCATAGAACAATGTGAGTGTGACTACTGGTTGGAGAATTAATTTGCTATGAATACTTTCACCTAAAAAGCACAATAAAATGTTAAATAAAAAGAAATACAGGCAGTAGCGTCCCCAAGAATCTCTGAAGCAATTCAGAAACACAAAGTCATGTAATTATCTTTTGCATCTAGCACAGGAAAATATATGATACTCATACGGTTTATAAATAATTGCCAGGGTGACCTAACCAAAAATCTTTGGCAATACTATCTGTTGCTAAGTATAGATAGGGACTCTCTCTTGGCTGAGAAAGCATTCTGGACTCACTTAAAAGGCAGACATCTGCACCTGGCTGTGACAGTGAGAGGGGGTGAGAAAAGTAGCCTGAAAAATGAGCCTGAAAACTCATAATTCAAGTTCACTCTGTGTGAGTTCCTTGATTCTGTTCATGCAATGATCAATGGCAGCAATGAGTAATGGGATCCAACTATCTTCTGGCTGAGCGGTCACATGACTTGCTCTGAAAATGGAATGGGAGAAAACCAAAGTTAAATATATTACAGTGTTGAGAAAAACCCTATCTCCAAAAGAGAGCACAAAGGAAATTACAATAAAAAAGGTAAGTGCATTTGCAGAAACTCTTGAAATTGAAAGAAAATCCCCCACCCACCTTCTTTCACTCTGTGATATAGGGGTATTGAGTTAAGAATGGATGGATGCAAATCTAGAATAATCTCAAAGAGCTATTTGGGGTGAAGTCCTCATATACTCACTTTGTAATTTCAAGTGCCTTCTTTACTACAGATACAAGTTTTGCAGACTGGAAAAGAAACAGAATTAATCACTTTGAGTTGTATCATTAACAAGAAAAGAGCAAAAATATTAAAAACACCCAAGTAATGCAAATAATTAAAAAAGAACCTTGAAGGAAATATACAGGAATAAGCATGCTAATTAGTCTATGGGGGTAGGATTATGAATTCTTCTCTATTTAGCAAAATCTTATAAGACTTTTTAAATTAAAAAGATAGTTAGAATGTAATTTGAATTTTTCCCAACTGCTCAGAATATAAAGCAGAAATGACTGATGGAAAAAAAGTCCAGGTATAGAATTTTAAGAATGTTAATATCAAGATAACATGGGAGTATGTAGATGCCACCAGCAGAAAATAAGATATAGGGAAGGAGACTTCAAAAAGTTTGAGAGGGAAGAAAAAAAAAAAGTTGGAGGGAAATGGAATTAAAATAGAATTTTCTATGAACTTTTTGAAGCCCCTTCAAATATAGTAGAAGACCTGGTGTGCTGCAAGGTTGGTTTGAATTGCAAGGTCGGCTGGTCAAACCCACCAGCCGCTCTTTGGAACCCCTGTACAGAGTCGTTATGAATAGGAACTGACTCAACGGCACTTAACAACTATTACTACAAGTGTGGAGTCCTGGTCTAGTGCTGTAGGATAAGCACTGGAGTGCAAGCTGGGTTTGAACCCACCAGCCACTCCTCAAAACCCCTATATAGTCAGAACTGACTCAACAGCACTAACAACAATGTATGAAATACCTATTTTTAAATTTGTACAGTAGGTATTACGATAAGGATTAACTAAGCACATAGCAAAAGATGTTTATTAGGAAGTCAATTTTTAAAAAGTTAATGCTCCAAAGAATCCTATTCTAATTCATTATGAAGACAAATTTGATTAATCTAATTCCACTATTTAATTTATGGAATATTATTAGAATCAGTTCATTAGATTACAAAATATAAGCCATTTAGCAGTTTTACTTCTCTTTCCAATATCATTAGGAATAAGACACTGAGTTTATACAAACAAGAAGAGAGAACTCTCGAGCAAAGGGCCCAGCACTTAAAACAATAAAACCAGGTGTTTAAAGAGTTTGGCCCTCTGTGGTTAAATCACACAGAATGTTTATAATGGATTCAAGTATGGTTCTGGATCACTTATTTCTGCCTAGAAATTAGAAATTGTGTTTTCAAGTTTAGAGGTTCTTAAAACATTGTGGCAATTAAGATTTTTTGTTTCATAGCTACCTTTTCTAAGCCATAATAATTCAACTTCAAATATTTATCCAGTACAAATCATGCAAGAAATATGACCATTAGTTTGTACATTTAACCAAGTATTACAAATAAACATGTACCCTATACCTTAGAGGATTTATTGGTGATGAGGGAAATTCTACTGATTACATCTGTAGCAATCCCCTCAAAGCAGGTACTTACATTGATTCGCACAGTCAGCCGGCACATGGGTGGATATGTGCTCAGAGCCAAATCATCCACACTAAAGCCAGAAAGCAAAAATAATCATTAACAAAAAAGGAATAAAACTCATCTGGGTGGTTTCCAGTACACAACTAAGGATGTGACTAGTTTCAGAAATGTCTTAAATTCGGCAATACAGAATCAATTCAGCAAGCGCGTACTGAACACAAACATTTTCACTAGGAAGCTGAAGTGGGGAACTCTCTTGGTCATAGGATTCAGTCAAATATGTGAGACTCTGAAACCAACATCACAGGAAGCTAACACTGTTGTATAAAAGGTTGGCAAGTGAAGCTATATTTGATATTATCTCTATCAGCCTTTGGCTGATGATTATTCTCTTTTCTTCCCTCTTACGAAATTACACTACGGATATCTGATGGCACCACACTACAAGTTACTCTCTAGTCTAGGAGGGAAAGCACAAGAGTCCTTGTTATGGTGCTCTAGGATAAGCACTGGACTGCTAATCGCAAGGCCGGTGGTTCAAACCCAACAACTGCTCCTCAGAAGCCCTGTATAGGGTTGCTATGAATTGGAACCAACTTGATGGTACTTAACAATACTATAAAAAAGAAAGCCCTGGTGATGTAGAAGGATAAGCCCTAGTGGTCTGCTAACCCCAAGGTTGGCGGTTCAAATCCACTAGCCACTCTGCAGGAGAAAGATAAGGTTGTCTACTCCCCATAAAGATTAAATAAGTCTTGAGACCCCTATGAATCAGTTCTACACTCTCCTAAAGCATTGTTATGAGTTGGAATCAATTTGATGATGGTGGGATTTTGGTATTCATTAAAAAAAAAAGGCAATATAGAAAAATATGTTAACAAGTGATGAATCTAGATGAAGGATGAATGGGCGTCCACTACAGTACTTTTTCAACATTTCTGTAAGTTTGAACATTTTTTAAATAAAAAATTAAGGGAACTTCGAGTTCTGGCGGCTGCTGAGGCAGTCAGGTGGGACGGGTTCCGTGGGGGAGGGACTGAAAACCCAGAGAAGCTACTCTCACAGAACAGTGCCAGAGCTCTGGATCTAGCATAGGGTGCAGTGTTAAGTTTCCTGCACATGCCAGTGAAAAAAAATCACGGTATAAAGGAAAATACTGGGATTTAGGAATCACTCTAGGCGTGGGACTCCCTCTGCGGCCACCCAACACAGGTGGAGTTCAGAGGGCAGGGTTATAGCCACACCAGCACAGGGAACTGGAGCTAAAAGAGGTGCAGTGATGCCAGGGATGGAGACAGAGATGATGACGTGGACAGATGGAGCAGCTGGGGACTCTGAACTCAGGGAGGGAGAGGAGCTGTGTGCTGACGGCCGGGGGACGGGCCTGTGGGGTATACCCTTTGGTTATTTGATGATGCATGACGGGATTGTAATCATTGCAATGAAACAAAATATGATAGGATGAATGTAAAACTGATATTCTTCCACGTAAACCTCACAATAAAAACTTATTAAAAAAAAAATTAAGGGACAATATTGAAGTGACAGCACAAATTGAGATCAGAACGCTGCTGCTCAAGCATTTTAAGTAGGAGTCAGGCTTACCTGGGGCTGATCTCATCAGAAATAGCCACAATGTCGTCCAGCTGGGCCACCTGGTCCTTCTTCCCATTCTCTGCCACTAGGATCCGGATTTTCTTCAGACTGGCTTTGGATGCCTTTACCAGTGCAAGGCAGGGGATTAGGAGCTCCTGATCTTCCTCTGACCAGCATACATCCTGATTGTTTGGAAACCCCAATGCATCCTCTTCAGCATCATTACTGTCACCAAAGTCTACTCTATGGTCATTCCCAAAGTTGTCCTCCTCAGAGTCATTCATGAGGCCAGAGTAAGGGTCACATTCTTCCATAGCCTAAAACATATGGTAATATATGTGAATAATGATCATTGTAAAAGTCTATTATATTGGGGACTCTAGACTCAAAGAGGAAGAGGGGCTGTGTGCTGATGACCAGGGGGCAGGCTTGTAAGGTATACCCTTTGGTTGGTTGATGATGCATGAAGGTGAATTGTAACCACGGCAATGAAATAATGTACAATAGGATGAATGTAAAGCTAATTTCCCACGTAAACTATCACATAATTCACAATAAAACATAAAAAAAAAAAAAACTTGGGGAAAAAAAACAAATTCTATTATATGTTCAGAATATGTCTGAGTTGTATAAAAACCTCAACCAGCTACTTCACTAATGGTTACAGGGCTCCATCACTTCACAAACACTGAACTAACTCTTCTAGTCCAGCAACAGAACAAAGGGGAGTGGTAGCGAATCATACATCAGGCTGGGATGAAGATGGGAGACAGAGGACAGGAGTAGTGAGGATGGAACCTATTTGGTGCATGCTCAGGAAATCTCTCTTTACAATAAATTCTCATCTTCTAGTCACTGAGTAGCAAAGACAGAGTTCCCCTCACCTGCTCCATTTCCTCAAGTGCATCCTTCACAAAATCCACACTCTTTGTCAGCGTTAAAAGGACAGCAGCTTTGTTATCTATGAGTTAAAAATCAGAAGCACCAGAATCAGAGGAAAAACTCAATAATTCTCTTAAGACTGCATAGAGAAACCACTAAAGGGAATGCCTCCAATTATGGTCAGCATGGACAGTGGTATACTGTAAAATTCTTCTCACATCTCCTGGGTATACAGTCAGTGAGAGAAAAAGCTTTTCTTCAGTCACCCCAAGAAGAAATAAAAAGGTTACGGGATGATCCTCATCATTGTTCTCTTAGACAAATAGTGTACTCGGTCTAATTTGGTCTAGATGCATGGAGGGGATTGTAACCACGATCTAGACCAAACTAGACCGAATACACTATTAACCTCATAACTGCTTAAATGTGTCTCAAAATGATGGCTCCTGGAGCAGAACCAGGAAAACAAACCAATTTGTTCAACAAAAGACAGAGTTACAGCAAGAGGGATTTTGCATTTGAAAGTATGAGTATTAGAAAATGGCAAAAAATATTCATATCTATCTTCTGATACTGGTGATATACCATATATACATATACACTAAAATTATATGCAAATTAAAGTACATGCATGCCACCAGCTGGAAGCTAGACATGAAGGAGTCTCTCTTCTTTGGCCAGCAGAGTCAATGGTCCACTTTCAACTCTCACCCACCTCTTGGTAACTGAGGCACCTGCTGGCAGGCAATCCAGACACTGTTGCATGAAATAAGGTCCTTGTTCTCAGGGCTGGAGAGGCGAATCAAAAAGAATATATAAATAACCTAAGTTTCCGTCTCTTAAAAATCTTCTGCCTGATGGTAAATTATTAGTGCTCTAAGATAAGCACTAGCCTGCTAACTACAAGGCTAGCATTTCAAATCCACCAGCCACTCAGTGGGAAAAAGATGAGGCTTTCTGCTCCCGTAAAGATTTGTAGCTTCAGAAACCCTAGACAGGCCTACTATGAGTCAGAATCAGCTTGATGGCAGTGAATTTGATGGTGGTGTGGTTTTTTTTTTTTAATAAGTAATTTTGCTGTTGGACTGAGTTTGTTCTCACCCGAAGCAAGGAACTCCATTAGATGAGAATCCTATATTTGGTACCCTTACCTCTGAGCAGGAGTGAAGGTAAGCACTTCCAGGAGTTGAGCCATGCCATCCACAATGTCCACAGTGGTGCTCCGTACCAGCTTGCACAGGGTGATTCCTATGGTCAAACCAAACCCAAGGAGTAAACAGCCCTGGTCTTCTTTTCAGAAGTCATCACCTGCTTTCCCACAAGTCTAAGCAATACGAGACCATGAGGTAACGTGCATCCCATGCGTTAAGCAGCACGCCCATCAAAAAACTCAGGTCATATTTATATTCCAGTATCCCGGCATGGCACTGTGGGTTAATGCAAAGTTCCTTTGAACTGTAAGGTTGGTGGACTATAAGGTCACCAGTCACTCCTTGGAAACCCTATATAGGGTCTCTATACAAGTCGGAACCGACTCAATGGCACTTCACAACAACAACATCATTTTCTTAACCCTCCAACCACCTGGTGCTGTGACCTGAAACAAATCTTTCCATAATGCCTCATGTCCATTCATTAAGGACAGTAGTCCCTTGATAACTGTGGATGAAGCACTGGAAGTTTAGACCATTTGTGGCACACATTCACTTATATTTTTGTAAGGCAGGGCTAGAGGGCACTTAACCTATAAGGGAGCTCAGAGGGAGGGTGCAGAGGAGAGTAGGGATGGCATGGATATAGAGCTACATAGCAGCCAGCAGTTGTCATGGGTAGAACGGGTTGGACAGAGAAGAGTCAATGAGAAGAAATGAAAGCCTCAGATTTGGGCAAGGCAGGGGATCTTGGGAATCACAGGGAACATAGCATCTGTACCTTCCCATAGTTGCTTATTAGTAGAGGTTGCTTACATTATTAAATTGTTCTTGAATGCATTCTGTGGAGGGAAGTTGCATGCTCAAATTGGGGTAAGGGTAAAGGTGTCAGGACATAACCCATCATATTAGCAAAGATCTATCCTGGTATGGCGCTGTGAGATAATGCACTGGACTGCAATGTCAGTCTGAACTGCAAGGGTGGTATGAACCACAAGGTCAATGGTTCAAGCTCACCAGCCACACCTTGGGAATCCTATACAGGGTTGCTAGGAGTCAGAACAGACTCATAGGCACTTAACAACAACAATCCTATAAACTGAACACTAAGTCTACTCAGTGGCTTACTCACCCTGGTCTTTGGGAAGAGAGTAGCACGCTGCAACAACTGCCTCAACAGCCACTTGGATTTGCTCACAGAACATCTGGGTCTCCTGTGAGGTGATGGGCCAAGTTCAGGATGAAAATAGGAAACACATTAGATCAACGGGGTCAATGCATCTAATGTGGAAGAGAGGCAATACTGGTACAGCACCATCAAACATTTCCGTAAGTCATACTACTTGTAAGGACTCATCACATACCAGAGAGAAATTAGCTAGACACCAGAAACTGGGCAGGCAACTCAGTAAAACATCAATAAATAGCAGTAAAGCTTATCCCTAATCCTTTGTATCCCAAAACATATCTTGTTACTTGAGATGTCATATTTCCAACAACAGTAAAAAATGATCTGATTATTTTTTGCATTAACACCATGCATCTAGCAGTAACAAATACCTAGGACCAGGTAAGAGGAACACTGGCTGCCAGCGATAGTTATGTGTCCACTTGGCTGGGCCATGATTCTCAGCAGTTTGGCAGTTAGGTAAAGATGTAGTCATCTTCCATTTTTGCATGACAATTTCATATAACGACCTGATCTTTGAAACCTAACCATATTGCTAAGTGTGGGGAGGCTGTATGTCTGTCCTGCCCCTGCCAACTCATTCTCTCTCTTTTTCTCTTATTTTTTAAAACAGAATCACATGAGCTCAACAATGCTCAATGCTCAATGTTGACTGTATTCCTTCTAAGTAGTCACTACTTTCTCTTGTCTTCACTCATCTGCTAAATCCTACGTCAGTGCTGTGCCAAGTGTGGTCCAGTTTGGTGCCAATCTACAAACCATCTATTACCACTCTAGGATGAGATAAACAGTGATTGAGGATAAGTATTTAGAAACTTTTTAATGACAATTTGATATTTTGCACCATCCAATATTTAAAAAACTTATTAGCCCATAATGGATTCAAATTTTTAAAAACAAAAATAAACTATTCTGAACTGCTCAAACCCATAAGAATTCATTCAGCTCTGTAATTCTCACTACATCAGTACTTGTTGTACTTTAAATTGCAGTAGGACTAAGGTGCTGAGATCTCACATATACTTCAAATAAAATCAAACCAAACTCTAAATTTAAATTTTCATCCATGAGTAAAACCACTGTACTGAGACATATACAGAAAAATAGTTCTATGCTGCCTCTTCATGTAATATTACTAGCTATGAATTTTAGTTGGTGTATTAGAAATAATCCTGGTTTGGTACTATAGGTTAAAGTGTTGTACAGCAAGGTCGGTTTGAACTGCATGGTCAGTGGCTCAAGCTTACCAACCACTCCTTGGAAAGGGTTGCAGGGAGTCAGAACTGATGGCGACAGCACTTAACAACAACAATGTGCAATTGAGGGAGCATGGTGGCACCATACAATAAGCACTGGACTGTGAACCAAAAGGTCAACAGTTCGAGCCCATTAGCCACTCTGTGGGAAAAGATGAGGCTTTCTGCTTCCTTGAAAATGTACAGCCTTGGAAACTCTATACAAGGTCACTAAGAGTCAGAATCAACTAGACGACACTTAACAGCAAGAACACGTGTATTTGAAACAAAGAAGTCAGCATATAAGAAAAAAAATTATTAGTCCCTTTGATAGAAATACTGACTTTCTTCCATGAAACTTTTAAAATATTCTTATTCAGTCATTTCTTGTTTCCTTGTCACAGAGCTTGGAGGTATGGAAAAGGAGAGTGTTTATCTTGGTAGGTACAGTGGAGGAATATTTACATCATCTCTAAGTATCTAGATATAGAAATTGAAACTACTGACCATTAGAATTAAATATATCAACAAATACGCCACTTTTAAATAATCTTACACCCAAATTAGGTATACGTAGATTTAGAAGAACTCACAAGCCTGGTCACAGCCATGTTTATTCATTTGTTTTACAAGAGAGGTTTAAAATGCATAATTCTTTGTTGTAGCAATTCCACTTCCGGAAATTTTTTTTACCAATCTATACATGCAACACACCACAAGTATCTCAGGCAATTCACCACAGCACTGCTTAGAATGAATAGCTGTAAGTTATAATTCTAGGACACTATTTATAGTATTCTATCATTTTTATAAAAAGAACCAGGCATTTACACATCACCATACCTGAATATGTACATGTATAGAATATATATGGAATAATTCAAAAAGAACTGGGAGGGGAGGCAAAAACAAGAAACGGATTGGGAGATAAAAGTTTTGTAGCATACTTTGATAGCTCTTGAATTTCATACCATATACCCAAATCCAACCCACTGCCATCTAGTTGATTCTCATAGTGATTCTAGAAAACAAGAGTAGAACTGCCTAGAGGGTTTCCAAGTTTGTAAACCTTTCAGAAGCAGACTCACATCTTTCTCTCACTGGAGCCACTTGTGACCACCTTTAGGAGAAGGATATCATGTTTGGTAAGGTGGAGGGTCAGAGAAAAACAGGAAGACACCCAACGAGATGGACTGGCCAGGTGGCAGCATCGATGGACTCAAGAGTGGCAACAGTAGTGAGGCTGGCCTAGGACCGGGCAGTGTTTCGTTCTGCTGTGCATAAGGTCACTATGAGTTGGTACCGACTCGACTCGATGGTACCTAACAACAACAACAGGTTAGTAGCTAAACACTTAACCAATGTGCCACCAAGGGTCCTTTTATACCACATATTGTTGTTGTTGCTAGGTACCACTGTGTCGGTTCCAACTCATTCATACACATGCTACTAATTCAATGTAAAAAATAAAAATAATTCAAAGAGCATTTTATGCAGTACAGACCAAAAGATATAGCTTATACATCAGATAGACCCTAATTTAAAGCCTAACTCCACTGTTTATTTACCACAACCAGAGCCTCTGAGCCTGCTTGCTCATCTATCTGATGGGGATCATACACGTGAAAACATATAGCCAGGCTGACCTTTAATTAAACCAGTATTTAGAGCTGTCTGCATGCGAACCACAAGACTAGCAGTTCAAATCCCACAGCTGCTCCTCAGAAACGCTATACAGGGTCATTGCGAGTCAGAATTGACTCCATGGTACTTAATAACTCCCTGCTAAGTAAAACACTTGACAATTTCATGTACATGGCCTAATTTGGGCTTCATAACAAGCTTTGGAGGTAAGAGGTATAACCCCACGGCTTAATATAAAAGGTGGAAAGCAAATGAGAGCTCTTAGGGACTACAAGGCAGCAGCACAAACATACTAGAAAGTGAAGCCCACCTGAGGCGATGGAGATGGCGGTGGAAGTCGGGAGAAGGCTATCAGAGTCATGGCTTCCCTTGACACTTCCATAGCTGCCTCATCTGGAAAGCAGAAGAGAAGGTGGCAAGGATCAATGCTGCAGACGTAAAGATAATGCGTACTCTCCACCCTCACCGGCAGAGCGTCTCAAAAAATAATTCCTAAACTCAGTATTTTACATTCAACCTTCTAGGTGATGGAGTAAAGTAAGGCACCCCCAAGGTGAGGATGCTGGGGGAGCGGGCAATCGCCTCCACTGGGGAGGGTGGGAAAGGAGTTGGGACGCAGCTCAGGGTGGAGAAAGACCTATGGATAATGGGAAGAGGTCTTCAATCAGAGTAGCACTCACTGAGTCTTTTCCAAAACTTCTCCCGATTAAACTCCTCGGTGGTCTCTCTGGCTTCGCCGACTTGTAAGTGTGGTATGTGTAGGCCCGACAGGAGCAAAAGGAAAATTGGGGTAAGCTGAGTCACCTCGAGTCCCCACCTCCTCCTACACCCCCGCCGCCGTCCCGGCTGACTTCTCCCTAATCCCAACCCGCCTCTGTCATCGCCCAGCCCAGCTGTGTCAGCTCACCCCGCACTCCAGGAATTAGCAACCGCAGCTCTACTGCCAAGTTCCGAAACTGCTCCAAAGGCGGAGCCAGCATGGGGACGGTGGCTGCAGGTGCACTCGCCATCTCAGTCGCTTGCCAGAAGACAGCAAACGCCACCACCGCCGCGGTCGAAGACGCACTACGGAAGCTACTCCACTTCCGGGAGCCACACGCTGGGGTTCATTTCCGGCAACAACCCTTCATTCCCAGCTACAAGGGCGAGACCACGCCTACACTCCCGCCCCAGAGGTAGAGCCACGCCCCCACAGCCCATAGAAGCTTTGCCAAGCACTCGTCACCACGCCCAGACGCCTGACCACGCCTCCTCTGTCAGTATCCAAGCCATAACAGACAAGGGGCCATATTGGTTATTCATTTATTTATTTGATTAGTTAAAAACACCCCTGACCAAGGAAACAGAGGGCCATAATCCTTCAGGAAAATAGGTCTAGGAGCTAATATCTCCAAAGAAGTTAGGGTCAGGTCGAAGTCCTAAAATGGCACCCTTGGCAGCTGCTGAGCACCAGACACTAGGTGCTCTATGTGGGATAACCCAAATACCTTGGACCTGCAGATATTCTCATACATACACTTAGTCTGTGGAACCACACTGTGGATCTCATAGATTATGGCTTTCTCTCCACAAAGGTAAATCTTTATCTCCTTGGAGAAGAAGAAATCACAGCATTAATTCAATTTTCCATTCTACAGCAAGCAGTAGAGAGTAATCCCTCTTACTCCCAGATGTCCAAAGAGCAGCAGCAACCTGAAGCTCTCTCAACAATACTGACTTTCCACTTGATGTTGGTGCAGGGGCCTGCACTAGAAGTGGAGACCTGAGCTTGCCCCAGCTGCTGATGGTGAGGCACAGCCTTCAGGAGCTCAAGTGGCTTTTTAACAGTGCAATGAAAGTTCCAAGTTCAATGGGGTTCAGTGTCCACACATAACGAATGAGAATAGGTGCCAGTAGTGTCAACCAGGTCCGTAAAGGGGAGAAGAAAAAAGCAAGGGTGCCATATGTCACATGAAGAAAGTAGCAGGAATAAGCTTGCCAGATGTACAGTAGTAGCATGAGTAGGTGAACAGGTATAATTTTCAAGTATGTTCCTTGGTGGAGATGAGACCAGAAGTTGTGACCAAAACACCGTTGCAATAAGCTCCAGCACAGGTAAGCCATCAAGGGGATGTTAAAAAACACCAGCTGGAAAAAGGAGCAGAACAAAACCATTACCACCGAGCCTTAGAGGGATTGTTGTTGTTGTTAAGTGCCGTCGAGTTGATTCCAACCCATAGCGACCCTGTAGAAGGTTTCCAAGGAGCAGCGGGATTGGGTCTCATTAATACATTGGTGGCTCCCAAGCATATGTTGCTTTCTCTCTTGGTGGTTAGTTCAGCTCTGATCTCTTCTTTGATCACTTGCTTATAACACAACATTGACTTATAGTTAGTTTTTGTGTCTGTCTGTGTCCTCTTAAAGGCAGGAATCACTTAATTTATGTTGAAGTCCCCAACTGTAGTATATACACTATCACACTAACAGTAGATACTCAGTAGAGTTCAAATTGAAACTGAACTAAGCATATATGTGTAGGTATATAAATATGTGTTGTTGTTGTTAAGTGCTGTTGAGTTGGTTCTGAGCTTGAACCGCCGACCTTGCAGTTCAAATGGCTTTGCAGTCTGGCATATTAACCCATAGCGCCACACCAGGACTCCAAATATGTGTATATACACACACATAGATACTCAAATCATTTTTGGGGGGGGTGAATATTTTTTTCCTTATCTCTATATTTTCATTTGAAGTAGTGTGATAAATTGTTGTTGTTAAGTGCCACTGAATCAGTTCCAACTCATAGTGACACTGTTATAGGGTTTCCAAGGAGTGACTGGTGAGTTTGAACCACCGACTTTGCAGTTGAGTGATTATCCCACAGCACTATACCATGACAAACTTTAAATTGTAATATGAGGGGGCTTCAAAAGTTCATGGGAAAATGGAATTATAAGATAATGGGATTTTTCACAAATTTTTGAAGCCTTCCATACAAGTTTATTAAATTTTTGTTTTGTTTATTCAACAAATATTAATTGGACAGCAATTCTGTGAAAGGCACTGTGCTAGGCTCTCAGTTCTGGACACACTGTGAACAAGTCTGAAAAGAGCCACCAGAGGGTTTATATCCTAACAGAGAATAGAGACCAAAAAAAGATAATTACAGATTATGATAAATTCAATGAAATAAATACTTAGGTGATGAAAATAACTGGAAGATGACCTCTCTGAGGCATAAGGGTTTCCAATGGAGGGAAATGCCTTCCAGGCAGAAGAAACAAAATTTTCAAATCCAAAAGTGGGAAAGGCCAATGTGCCTGGAGCACAACAAACCGGGTGGAGATTGCGGTAGTTAGTAGGACCCACATCAAGTCATGCTGTTTGTAGCATTTTAATCTGAAGAGTAAGCTGATTCGGGTCTTAAAAAGACCACATGAAATGCTTTGTGGTGAACTGACAGTAGGGGAGCAAGAGTAGGAATAGGAGGACTAGTTAGGGGTCATTGCAGTAACTCAGGCAAACAATAATTATGTCTAGATTGTTTAGGTATCAGAGATTGAGAGAAGTGAATGGATTCAAATTACATACTGGAGGCAGAACAAACAATCTATGACTTGCTGATGGACCACTGTTGTTGTTAAATGCCATAGAGTTGTTTCCAACTCACAGTGACTCTGTATAGGGTTTCCAAGGAGCAACTGGTGGATTTGAACTGTCAACCTTGTGGCTCAAACCGACCTTGCAGTTAAGTGCTTATCCTACAGTCACACCAAGACTCCTGAGGATGGACTAGATATAGCAAGGAGGAAAGGGGAACAATTGAGGATACATCCTGAAGAAAATGAGTACTGTGCAGAGAATGTTCTGGCCTGTGGTCAGTGTTTGCTAGGCCATGGTCTTACATATTTGGCTGCCTACAATCCTGCTGGTCATGTTTTACTGACTTGCTATGAGGCTTCAAACTCATTTTAAACAATGTTTTTTGAGCTCTTCTAAAATCTCTGGTGTTGGTCCATTAGTCTCATTGTTGTTGTTTTTAAGTGCCATCAAGTTGGTTCCAACTCAGGGTTTCCAAGGAGTGGCTGATGAATTTGAACTGGTGACCTTGAGGTTAACAGGGTGTTTATTCTATACCACCACACCAAAACTCCACTAGCCCCATTAGGTGAGTAAAATACAAAAATATGAGGTAAATACTTTTGATATGTTTATGGAGATTTGCTATGAATCAGGGCTCTTTGTGTGTTTGTTGTTTTAACAGACTCTTTATCCAAAAGTAAACTGAATGCATCAGTGTTTCCCAGGCAAGTATTTTGCTAAGATTTCACTGAAAAGCCCAGGTCTGGTTTTTGCCCAGTTCTGTTTTCATTGGATAAATGACCCACTTTTCTTGTGTGTCCATTTTTAGTTTCCTCCTCCTGAAACATTTTCTTTTTCCTCCTGAAACATTTTCATTCTACATTGTTGTTGTTATTGTTGTTATGTGCCGTAGATTCGGTTTTGACTCATAGTGACCCTGTACAGGGTTTCTGAGGCTGTAAATATTTATGGAAGTAGAAAGGCTCATCTTTCTCCGGCGGAACAGCTGGTAGTTTTAAACTGCTGACCATGAGATTAGCAGCCCGATTCACAACCACTACGCTACCAGAGTTCCTTCTACGTTAATCATAATCAATTCTGGTTTACTCAGAACTCTGTAATTTATTCTACCAGGGTTGTTGTTAAATGCCACTGAGTCAGTTCCAATTCACAGAGACCCTGTACAGGGTTTCCAAGGAGCAGCTCATGGGTTTGAACCACCAACCTGTGGTTAACAGTCCAGTGTTTATCCTGTAGCACCACACCAGGACTCCCTAATTTCATTTTCTGTTAATGGAAGAAGCACAATAAAACAGCAAATAACAACAGGATCTCTTTCACCTCTTACAAACCCTGCCTTCTAGAAGCATGCTTTTGATATTTACAAAAGAGTAGTGGGAGAAAGCACATAGAAAGCATTCTAAATACAAACATAATATCCGTTTTTAAAGACTACCCTGCCTACCAAGTAGGAAAGATAATCTGTGGCATTTAATTTGAGATTTTGGATTTAATTAATAACTGTACTGCAATTGGATTTCTGAAGGCACAGTGAGTTAGTTGCAGGGCTGCTAACTGCAAGGTCAGCAGTTAAAAACCACCAGACACTCCACAGAAAAAACAGCAAAGCTGTCACTTCTGTAAAGATTTACAGTCTTGGAAACCCGATGGCACATTTCTATTCCATTACATAGGACCAATGTGAGTTAGAATTAACTCAACAGCAGTGGGTTTTTTAGTACCATTTGTCAACAAAGCCAAGATGTTCTTAAACTGCATTTCTGACTTCTTACCTGAAGAATTCCAACTACAAATGTTGAGCTGCCTTGTAGGAAATGTCCATTAACAAAGATACCAAAAGAAAAGCAGCAACCCATTTTTCCTGTAATGATTTCACCAACAAACCATGGTCCTGAAAGAGGCAGTTGATAGGAAAAGAGATTAAATAAGTATGACTCTGACTGCATACCTCTGTCAGATGCATTTATAGGAATAATCAAGAAATATGAGACTGTCACCATAAGCATTTTATTTGCATAGCTTTTTTTCCTTTGCAAATTTCTATGTTGGGGAGTAGAGCAGCTTTATATGATAAGCACTGGACTGCAAACCAGAAAGTCAGTAGTTTGAGCCCACTAGTCATTCCATGGGAGAAAGATGAGGCTTTCTGCTCCCACAAAGATGTACAACTTCAGAAACCTTATCAGTTGGCTATGAGTCAGAACCAACTTGACAACACTTAACAACAACAACAATCTCTGCTGTGCATAAGGTTGCTAAAAGTCAATATTGACTTGATGGCACCTAACAACAACAATCTCTGCTGTGCCTAATGTCCTAATTACCCATCTGATTAATTGCTCTCTACCTCCACATTTCTCTGGATTATAAAAATTATGCCTGAAATTGGTCTGTAGTTTATAGATTCCAGAAGCAGATTAGAGTACATTTTCTAATTTTAGAAGACTTTGATGAAAATATTTCTAAAATGTACTTTTCTGTACTTCTCATCCTTATTAACATAATGAATGTATTTTAATCTTAATGATCTAAAATCACTTTGTACATTAACTATATACTCAGTATTAACATGTTAACATGTATATATTTTAACTTGCTTCTTTAATTTTTATCTAGAATGCCATGCTGACATTTCACTCCTCCCTGTTTTTTACTGATCCTTCTCTCAGTGTGCAGGTTTTAGGAACTACTGTATAAGAATGATAAGAGAGTCAGACTTCCCTTTTCAAAGTGCACATAACCAACATTTGCTGGCAACGAATAGAGTTCAGCTTTAAAAATTCATACACACTTTTCTCAGATATATATTATATAAACTTCTTTAGCAACATTTTATTGTTGGTAAGTGCTGTCAAGTCAGTTCCTACTCATAGCAGCCCTGCATAGAGGTCGAGGCTTTACATCTTCAGGAGAGCAGAAAGCCTCTTCTTTTTCTTATGGGCCTGCTGGCAAGCTCAAACCGCAGACCTTGTGATCTACAGTCCAGTGCCTATCGTGTGCAGCCACCATGCTCCCACTTTACTGACATATTGAGCTAAAAAAAAAAAAAAATGTTTTCAAGTTTCACCTTTTACAAACGGAACAACATCTGCCCTTGAATGTTTTCTTTTACAACTAAAGAACTAAATTACTTGCTTTACCTCCTGGTATAAGACAAGTGTCTAGAACAGCTTCAACCTATCTTCTACCAAGAGAAATTGTCTTCAAAGAAGAATCAGCCATAGTTTGTAATATAGAGAACTGTAAAGTGTCAAGTTTTTAATTAAATTGCCTTCTGTTCTCTGATTTGTTGTTGTTGTTAAGTGCCATCAAGTCTGTTCCGACTCATAGTGACCCTGTACAGGGTTTCTGAGGAGCAGCTAGTGAGCTTGAACTGCCGACCTTGTAGTTCAAACCGACTTTCCATTCCAACACAGTAACCCACAGCACCACACAAGAGTTACTGACAAGAGTTACTAATGAACAACAAAGTCTAAAAGTGGAATAAAAGTATAAAATAAAGACTAAGACTAGGTAAAAAGTAGACTAAACTACTCTTAATTAACTGATATTTATTCACTAAAAAAATACTAGCAAAAAAACCCCTAAAATAGCATTTGCTGCTTCCATAATGGCTAAGTGACTTTGTATTGGGTATAGTAATTTCAAAAGCAGCAGAATTGCTTAGATATGCCCTGACTCATTGCTCATCTCAATTTCTATCTTTCTTGTGCTGAGTTTTTGGAAGTAAATATTCGTAGATACTCACTGAGCTATACATTGGATATTATGTTTCATACTGGGTATAGAGGTAAACAAGACAGATAGGACTCCAATGACTATTCTGCTGAAAAGATAACAAATAAGATCATCATAAATTCTAATAAGAGTAATGAAGGAAATAAAAAGTGTGGTGCAACAGAGAGGATAAAATTTTAAGGAAGTCAAAGAAGGCTGTCCTGAGGAGATGACATTTAAGTTGAATTTCTATTCAATATCCACACAAATACCAATTATTGAACTGTCCTCTTGGCACCACCCATAAGTAAATTTGGTGTTAACCAAAAGTCCTTTAAACATGTTAGGAAATAACTGTTTTCCAAGACCATATCCCAGGAAATGACTTATGAAACCCATATGCCATTCAAAAGCCCAAATAAATCCATTGTCAAAATGCTGTATATAGACTTGGGCAACTCCAACTTACCTCATTTACTTACCCAGTACTGTATATAGGGTCAGCAGCAACACAGAATAGTAGAAGAGATTTATCTTGCTCACAACATGAAGAGAAAATGAAGTCAGATTTACAAATCCTGGAGGGCCTAAACAAATAAATTAGGAAAATCCAGTGAACACATGCAAAGTTAAATTTCTTTATAATAACATTTTCTAGAATACTTCCATGACTGTTATATATATAGAAAATCATTTGTTATATGGTAACTATATATAGATGATCCTATTTTAATTCAGAAGTTAGTAAAAATCATGGTACAGAAATTTAGCAGATGAAACATTCCAAGAAAGGGTTAGTTATGATATATATGTGTGTGTGTGTGTATCTATATGTATATATAGATAGATAGATATAGAAAGATAGAGAGTCCTGGTGTGGCGCTGTGGGTTAATGCACCAGACTGCAAAGCTGGTTCAAACTCACCAGCTGCTCCTCAGAAACCCTACACAGGGTCATTATGGGTCGGGATCGACTCTTTGGCACTTAACAACAACAACAACAAAATATATATATACACACATACATACATGCATATATGTATGTTGCTGTTAAGTGCTGTCGAGTTGGTTCCAACCCATAGCAACCCTGTATAGGGTTTCCAATGAGCGGTTGGTGAGCTTGAACCACTGACCTTACGGTTCAAATGACTTTGCAGTCCAGCACATGAACATATAGTACCACACCAGGACTCCATATATATGTGTGTGTGTATATTGTTATTAAAGGCCATTAAGTCATTCCTGACTCATAGAGACCCTAAGAAGGGTTTCCAAGGTACAGCTGGTGGGTTTGAACTGCTGACCTTTCAGTTTAGTGCTTATCCTATAAGCAACACACTAGAACACATTCTCTCTCTCTGTGGTGGTGGTGGTGATATGCTGTGGAGTCGGTTCTGACTCATAGCGACCTGTACTGGGTTTCCAAGGCTATAAATCTTTATGGGAACAGAAAGCCTCCTATTTCTCCCACGGAATAGCTGGTAGTTTCAAACTGCTGACCTTGAGGTTAGCAACCCAACTCGTAACCACTACCCTGCCAGAGAGCCTCTCTGTCTCTCTAAATATATATCTCTCAAAATTACATATGCACTGAAACTACCAGTCATTCCACGGGAGAAAGCTGAGGCTTTTTGCTGTGTGTGTGTGTGTGTGTGTGT